TATTGCAAACCATCTTCCTATAAAGCAAAGACAATGACTTGGGGGGAACTATTGTTTGTCGCCCATAGAGTCTAAAACGAAAGGTCCAATGGTAAAGTGAGAGTAGAAAATGTGTAGAATAGGTATACCTCCTTTCTCCCACGAGCATTAAAGTATGCCTTTTTAAGCTATGTTGACCGTTTAGATCACTCTGATGGTTGACTGAGATCCACGTTTCACTACACGCATTTTGTTGATAGTCATTTCTCCTATAAAATATGTCATTTCTTATGTATTCAAATTCATTCTGCCTCACACACCACTTTTCATTTTCTTACTGACTTGGCGTTTGAGTGCTAACCTTACATGTCAACCCCCTCTCTATTGCATCGATAGCTCAAATTCACCACAACAAACTATACTTTTTCATCCACCGACCAGTTCTGATTTCACCACAAAATATATCAGAAACATACTTTACAAAATTTATTTTTATGATAAAAGGTACGAGTCTTCATAAAGTAATTTCAAATTGCATCTTTATAATATGTAAGACTTCAGTTTTTTTGAATATGTGCACAAATTTTAATTTTTTGTGTTAGCCGGTTATATCAATAAATTTTAATATCATATAAGATTTTTAATTATTGAAATAATTTATCTTTTAAAATTGGTTTTATAATTAAAATATTATTTAGATAAAAAATATTTAATTGCCCTATCTCTTTAAAACCATGAGTGAAAAAGGATATTCTCTTTTCTTAAATACTAAAACGACTTTACTCATAATTTTTTACTTTTTGTCTTCCATTTCTCCAACAAAAATCTTAAATTAACCAACAATTTAATTTATATCACAAAGTATTCCAATTAAAAAAAAAAATTCTCTTAAAGGGAGACGAATTGACACGTTCTCCTAATGATATTGTGTATTCTCACTCTCAATTATTCTCTCTAATTCTCATCCCTCTCATTATTATCTTCTCCACATCCTCTATTGTTCATCAATTATGTAATTGTATAATATAAAATAAAATAAAGACAAATTATTTTCATATGAGCTATCCTAAAATACTTTCTTTTTTTAAATTGAAACTAGGCAATAACGATTGTGTCCATAAGTAGACTCAAATAAATCAATCCAAATACATACTCCTTCCATCTCATATTATAAATAAATTCCACTTTTTTAAATTCCTCTAATAGTTAATATATTTAATTTATATATAGACCAGATACATTAATTATTAAATAAATCTAAAAAAAATAAATTTATTTATAATATAAGACGGGGGGAGTATTGCATATGACTGACAATACTTATTCTTTCAAGAAAATTTAACCTCGTCTTAACTGTTATGAGATTAACTATATAATCTTAGATGATCTAGCAAAGGATACTTCTAACAAAATAACTAACAAACAAATATCTTTCTACAGGTTATGAAATTCAAAATATGGATTGATTAGTACAATTGTTAGTTACCAATCAATGATATAGAAGAACAAGACCTGTGCAAGCAGAATGCTTTCCGATTTTAGAGATTATTGACTATAACACATGCTTTGCTTTCTTAGAAAACAATATCAATTGACAGGATTGTTTTTTTAATACAAAAGACAATTATCTAGTATCAGAGTGTCTATGTTGTATGGTGTTCATGTTAGAATATGTGCTTCCTAACATAAGAGACAGGCATTGATGTATAAACATCAATAATAATGTAAAAGGGGTTCATGCTAAATAGGTTTAAATGGCCGAATCAAAAAATCCATTTTCCTAACTACCTAGAAGAAGTCAATTACTTTCAAGAAGTTCACATTTCATGTTTTCACCGATGATAAGTAAGTTTTATATAAGCTGCAAATAAGCAGCATTTTGTCACCATCAACAACTTTCAATCACTTGAAATCAACCAAAATTGTGTATACATGTTAAAACAAAAAGATTTATGTATTTTATTTTCTCTCTAATTTTTCATAAATGAATTCACAACTCAAGCCCGAACTTTCCATTCATCAAAAATGCAATCCATTACTTCTCCTTTTGAACAACCAGTAACCAAAACCACCAACAAGAATCATAACTATAAAACCATCAAAAAATCCTCCTACTACTACAAATCAAGAGAAAAAGGTCTACAAACTGAAGAAAAAAGCGCTTTATAGTTTGAAGCAAGCTTCTAGAGTTTGAAACAAACGCATTGATGGTTTCCTAGTTGATTTGGCTTCAAGAAATGTGTGTCTGAACATGGTGTTTAGTCGGACGCAAGCAAAGATGTGATCATACTTTGTTTATATATGGATGATTTATTGATCACATGCAACAATGAGATGAGTATTTCTAAGTTCAAGAGTGAACTTATGAAAGAATTCGAGATGAGCGACCATGGCACTATGACATACTTCCTTAGCATAGAGTTCCATAATTAAAAAATGAGACTGCTCATGCATCAAAGAAAGTATATACTTGAGATATTGAAGAGGTGTGATATGGAGCATGGTAATGCTGCCAATACATCAGCTGAAGCAAGGTTGCAAATGTCCAAAAGTGATGATGAACAAAATGAGGATCCAACACAATATAGATGATTGGTTGGATCATTATGTTACTTGTGCAATATGCGGCCAAATTTAGCGTTTAGTGTCGGCATTGCAAGTAGATTCCTAGATAGATCGAAGGTGTCTCACATGACAGCAGTGAAGAGGATCTTAAGATACGTCAAATGAACTCTTGGATGCAGAATTCTCTTTCCGGAAGCGGTTACAGGCAGAAAATGTAATTTGCTCGGTTATATCAATTACAATTAGTGCAAAGATAAAGATGATTGAAAGTCAACAGAAAGTTATATCTTTATGTTCGGAGGAGCACTAATCTCTTGGTGTTCTAAAAAAGAATCGGAGGTTGCACTCTCTTCTTGTGAGACCGTGTATATCATTGTATCGTTATGTGCGTGCCAAGTTGTGTTGCTTATGAGTCAATTAGAGGAGCTGGGCAGCAATGTAGGAGAAATTGTCACACTCTTGATTGATAATGTTTCAGTCATTAATCTTTCTAAGAATCCCATTGGACATGGAATGAGCAAGAATATTGAGATGATGTTTTATTACTTGAGGGATTTGGTGAGTGAAGGCAACCTGAGGTTGAGATATTATCGTAGCGAAGAATAAGTTGCAGACTTATTGACAAAAAGAGTCACAAATGATGTGTTCAAGAAGTTGAAGATGAACTTGGGCTAGAGAACTTGGAGCATTTGAATTAAGGTGGTATTTGGATGTACATAATAATTCAAATGCATTATATAAGCTTCTGTGAGCATATTGGAGGAAACAACTTAAAAAAATAAGCACTTCTGGAACGCAGACACTAACTTTTTCGTGGGCGTAACCGGTTACATAAAAAGGTGTAACCGGTTACACAAGACATTTTAGTTCTGTTATCCTGTTTATCGCAAGCGTAATCGGTTACGGTGTTTGGCGTAGCAGATTACGAACCCCTGTTTGGATTTTTTAGCTTATTTTTAAGTTTTTTTGTTTCCAAATAATTTTGTTGGCTTATATAAATGTTCCTCAAGTTGTAACATTTAAGTTAATGCCATTTGTTACATCTCTCTCTCTCTCTCTCAACTTTTCATTCCATCTTCTCCGATCAGCACAAATTCTCCAATGATTCGCCACTAGTGTTTCTGTATATTTCAACAAATCTAACCAACTAGTGTTTCTGTATATTCCAACAAATCTAGCCAACCAGAGCTTTGATACTATTTGTTGGAGAAGTCTGGGAAATGAGGTCTGAAAGTGTCAATGGGTCAAACTTTTATGGTTACAAGAGAACTTGACACCTCATATCCAACCAAAATGTTAAAGCAATGGAGATATGTGTCCTCTCTCTTATAAATCCAACACAACCAATAACTATCAATTTTAACCAAAACTTACTTTCACAAAAAATTTCTATTTGGATAACATTTTAATCAAATGGTTTTTATATAAGCGCTTATGAAAAGCTATTTCTATAAGTATAATATAAAATAAAGACAAATTATTTTCATATGAGCTACTCTAAAATATTTTTTTTAATTGAAGTTAATCAATAATAATTGTGTCAATAAGTAGATTCAAATAAATTAATCCAAACATATATTATGTTTGACTAACAAAACTTCTTCTTTAAGACAATTGAACACGTCACGACTGATATGAGATGAACTATAAGATTAACTAACAAAAGATGAACTATATAATCTTAGTAATAACTAACAAAGTAATTAACTAACCAATTTCTTTTTACATGTTATGAAATTCAAAATATCAATTGCTTAGTACAATTGTTAGATACCAATTAATGAATTTCTTTTTACATGTTATGAAATTCAAAATATCAATTGCTTAGTACAATTGTTAGATACCAATTAATGATATAAATGAACCAGACCAGTGCAAGCAAAATACTTTCTGGTTTTAGAGATTATTGACTATAACACATACTTTGCTTTCTTACAAACCAATATCAAACGATAGAATTGTCTTTTTCATAGAAAATACAATTATCTAGTATCAAAGTGTCTGTGTTGTGTCGTGTTCTGGTGTTCATATTAGAGTCTGTTCTTTCTAATGTAAGACATAAACATTGACGTATTGACATCAGTAATAATCAAAAATAGAACTATTGAATATAAGAATAAGGGTAGACACTTACGCATATCAGAGACAGACATACCTGATCTGCTCGTGCTAAATATGTTCAAATGGTTGAATCAGAAAATCCATTTGCCTAACTACCTAGAAGAAGTTCACATTTCTGTTTTCAAAAATGATGAGTAAGTTTTGTATAAGCTGCAAATAAGCAGCATTTGACACCATCAACAATTTTCAGTCACTTGGAATCAACCAAAACTTTGTATGTATACATGTTAAAACAAAAACGGTTTCTGTATTTTCTTTTCCCTCTAATTTTTGACAAATGAATTCACAACTCAAACCTGAACTTGCCATTCATCAACTTCTCATAAAACTCTATCTCAAGAATTCAATCCACTACTTCTCCTTCTGAACAACCAATAACCAAAACCTCCAACAAGAATCATAACTATAAAACCATCAAAAACTCCTACTACTACAAATATCCATCTTTTCACATCATGCATCTCATGATTTCTACCGATTCCCTTTCGAACCTTAACCATATAACTAAATCCTGATCCTTTATTTACCTGTTTAAGACCAAGTACTAATCTATAAAGATAACATTCCGCGGCTCCAACGCTCGCGTTGCTAAAATACAACGCGGCAGCACATTTACAATCCCTTAAGCACAAATTCGAACATGCTTCTCGGCTAATATTAACCGTTTCAGGAACACCCTTGAGCACACTGCTTACATTATCAATTTCCAACATTTCCGCCTTTTCATCGCGGCAAAACCCTCCGGAAAATCCTTTGCCACAATCAGAACTAGTACTACTCTTTTTGTCATTTGTCAAAATTTGAATACATGAACATGTGTTTGAAAATGTACATATACCATAAGGTTTACAAGAATTTGGAAGGTCACATGTTCTGTTTAGTGCTTGAAAAGAAGCCTCAAATTTTCCTTTCTCTGGTGAATAGTAATAAAGGCCAATATTTCCTGTTTCATTCTTCAATGCTAAGAATTTCAAAGGTTGAAGACTTTGAGACGGAATTTGCGCGATTTTCTTGTATTTTACATCAAACAATAACAACCCTTTTGAACTCAGCTTAATATATGTAATACTTCTATTCATGGTAGGTTGAAAGTTCCAATAAGAGTACCTCAACTTACCGGAGTTAACATACAAAGATACCTTGTTGTTCTCGATTTCGAATGAGTAGAACAACGTTGAGTTACTTCTAAAAGAAGTTAATCGAGTCGCCACATCTAGCTGTTGGCCTCTTAGCATTACATCAGTTGGAAAATTGAAACTTTGCCATTTTACATTGTTTTGTTCATCCACAAGCACAAGATTTCCTGTCCTCAGTATTTGCAAGTTCTGCTTCAAATCATTCAATGCAACAATTCGCGTATTAGTCTCTATGCAATGCAGCTCAATTGACTACGATAAACAACTTAGTTAAGCTCCTATAGCATAGTCATGCATCATATATAAGTGCTTGCTTATGTATAAATTGTTTTTATAACAAACGATAAGATCAGGGTTATCTTAAATTTTCAGAGACTCTGTATAGGTTAGACACAGTAGGGGCCCTACCAGTGACAATTTAGACTATACAATATAGTCTGTTTTGCACGTCTTCAAAGACAATTCTAGATAAGATAAAGTTACTTTGTTTTCGTATAAGTTATAATTTATAAGCTAGAGATTTTTACCTTAACACCTTGTCCTGAAGTTCCAGTTTTCCATCCAACTATCCCATTAGGACCCTTAAGCCTTAAATCACCATCCATACTAAACTCCAACAAACATTTTCCAGTGACATAAAACTTAGAATAATGACCAGAATCCCAAACCTTAACATCTCCAAGAAAAACCAACAATGAGCATGCGAATTTCGCATCGATAGCTTCAATACTCAATGCAACTCTGTACTTCGGTACTGTCTGATCATTCTCCAAAAGAAAACCTCCAACTCTGAAACCAATTCTATACTCCAAAGGAGCTTCAACGATAAGATTGTGTCCAACACCAACACTGGACTCAGAAAATGCAGAACTGATGAACAAAAGAACAAAGAAAAGAAAAGGATAAAAAAGATTCATTAGTTACAACAAGTTGATGGTTTTTGGAGATGGGTCTGTAATGTGAAGGAAAAAACAGAAAAGGTGAACATGATTATAGAACCTCACACTCACACCACCCACTCCAAAAAAGGCTTTTACCTTTCATGTTGCTGCTAAATTTCCTTAAACAATTGCAAAATACTTTTTTCTTTCTCTTAGTACTATAACTCTTTTCGACGCTCATGCAGTCCAATATTTCTGCACAATTATCAACTGAGTTGACTTAACGTTCCACTGAGATTGTTGAACACAAATTTGGCCATGAGAGAGTTTCTTGAATCTTACTTGTTATTTTTTTACATTTTTTTGGTTTGAATTATTGGTATAACATTAATGAAATTTCTAATTTTGCTACATTGATGATATCTAATTTTTCCTTAAAAGAATAAGGTATTTAAGAGGCCTACCTCAAAATTAAGGTATTGAAATACAGATAGGTAAGCATTTTTGTGGGGTTGAGAGTTATAAAAGTGATTATATTTAAAAGTTGAATTGACTTTGAGCGTGGGCGACCGAGATACTCACGTGGGACCCAATTCATCAAATTCTGTTTGGTTCAATTGAGTGCAATTCTTAGTGGGATGCAAATTGCAAGTGTGTTTTGAGATTTTTGAGTGGTGGGTTTAAGAAAAAATGGATCATGTGTTGCATATCTGACACGTGTAGAAGCTGACACTGCTCTTACGATTGGGTGACATGTTTAAGGTTCAAACTTGTAATGTTTTGTGTAGTGCTTATGTGGTGTTTTTAATAACGGCTTGGTTGGTTGGTACATTTGGGAAACAAACTTTTGTTTTACAATTACTTGTGCTATGAAGTTGTAGTAATAGTATATTCTTTGGCTTTCAAGGTGAAAGTCCAGTTAAAATTCTCACACCTTCATGGATTAAGATCTTTTACTGTAATACAACCAAGTTGTTTTTAATTTCTGCATGTGTTTGGCAAGCCAACAACTTCAATTATGCAATATTGTTTCGGTAATTTTACTTTTCAATAGCTTTTGTTTTGAGTTGATTACAATGTAGTATTGTAAGCAATTCTAATTGTTTGAACTATATAAAGTTGTGCACATGTCAGAGTCATGTATTCTATTCGATCTACTCTAAAATTACTTCTTATTATTTACTGACTTGGACATTGGAGTAATATCCTTATGAATTCTCTTGGATCTGCCGTATCGGAAACACGCACTACTGCATATGAACCTTATTTTACTCCATCATCAACTATTTCTGATTTCTGAATAGAACACTGATGTTATATGTGAAAATCTGATTGCCTAATTCCCACATAACCCCCCGAGAAACTAGCATCTCTTCATTGCAATTTAGCAAAAATCTGATCTCTTTCCTATTTGAATCACTGACCTCCTTCCTACACGAATCACCGATCATACTCATGAAATAATGACTACGTCGGAAGCTACCCAACCAGCCACACTCAATGCAACGCTGCTGTTGTGGCCACGACACCATTATGCTCCCAATCTCACGAGGACGACTCTGCTTCCTCCTATGGTTGATGAAGATCTTGTCATGATAACTTCTTTTTCCGCTCCTATACCATGAAGCAACCTCCATCACAACTGTTGATTCCCAAACAAGAGATGCTTCAAAGCCTCTAACAACTGCAAGTCAATCTAGGTATGCAAGGAGTTAACTTTCTGATGTCTGTAACATGTTGCAACAAAAAAAACTCTCATTTCCAAGATGAAAGAGTACTTCGAATCAAATAAAATTTACATTATGCTCCTCCATGTACCATTATGTACGCAGGACAGCCTCACACGATTGTCATGGGTTTTAGCCAAAATTGATTCTTGTTGGCACCGTCTTTCTACGCAGAGCGCTCCCTAGATCCCCGAATAGTCCTCAACGTCAAGAATATTATACCCACCAAGAGAATCCACAGGAAGAGGAAAGAGTTAGACTCCACTAGAGACCCTTCGTCCCTACAAATCTTCATCATGCCACACTTGAATATATATAAGGAACAATGTTGAATCACATACTCCTCGTCGAAAGAGGATCCTCTTCTCGAGGTGCATCCTCGATATAAGGATCCTGAAATATCTCGAGAAACCTCAAAAGTTGGACAACTATGTCTCATACCCCAAATTTTTCCCATCAATTTCAATGGTTATATATTCAAAATCTTAGTGTTGCTATCGTATTATTTAAATGTGTTTGTTTTGAATCTTATTTTTATGGGGGGTTTTAAATTCATAAAAGGGGTGTTTTCTTCAAAATAGACCATCAAAGTCTGATAGCCCATTATAGGTTTTACTCGTTTCAAATAATAAAAGGAGAGAGGTGCTTTTTGTAAAATAGGATTGTGTTACTTCAAGTGGGCCATCAAAGTCTGATGACCCATTAAGGGTTTGTGACTCGTTTTAAACAAGAGAGGGGTGTATTTTCTTTGTTTAAATTACTGGCCCATTAAGGTTTTGAGATCTATCTTTAAGTAATAGGGGTGTCCTTTTTTTTAGTCTGATGGGCCAATGATGTTTTTTACAATAACAATAGGAGGGGGCGTATTTTTGTCATCTTTGTATCAATTTCTAGATCAGCTCATACCATTTCGTTTTAAAGGTCCAATAGCTGCATTGGACCAGAAATCAATTTCTGACTTTTTGATCAAATATATAATTACTATTACTATCAATATAAACACTATCATTATTATTTTTAAATACTGACTTCATTATTATTATGTTTTTATCATTATTAATACTATTTTTTATTATTATCGCGTAAGTTTGACAAAGTTAAAATAGGGCAAAAGAAAACCCTAATCGCAATTCTTGCAAGCCACCGGGCCCTGTTCTTTGTGGTGCTCAAACAAAACCCAAAAATAGATACTGTACAGATTAAACAAAAAGAAACGTATCAAACCTTAAAATTAAAACAAATACAGAAACACAAAAAAAATCTAATCATATCTAAAATTGTCCAAAATTGTATCATATCAATTACAAAATCAAATATTAAAATCTTTAAATTACAACAAAATCTACTCATTTCTAACACAAATTAAATCCCTAATCTCCTATTAATCTCAAATTATAACGATAATTAAAAATAATTTTCCTAATTTATCTACTTCCTAAAACTATATAAACCCTAAGATTTCTACAAGAAAGAGGGACGGGGAAAAAAATCTCCACAAAGAACAAAAAGAGGGTAACAGAAGCAGAAAGAAGGAGAATAAGAAGATCTGGGTTTCAAAGTCTGAAACCCTAGATCCAATTACTCGCCACCGCGCATTTGTCGTAATCTTCGCTGTATCCATCATCTCCTCAACCTCCAGAACCTAAGATAATGAAGGAAAGAACGAGATTAGCAAAGAGATCAGAAAACTAGAGAAAGCATCAAGAAATCGCAAGTATAAAGGTAATCCGACAAACACTTAGCTTAGGGTTTTCTGTAGATTTGTGGTTGCAATTGATATCTTGGATTTAGTATTTGGTTTTGGGGGTTAAGGAGGGTTCATCGCTGCCAGATTCTGGGTTAGGATTTGACAGAAGGGGTGTTGTTGTTTTTGTCATGGAGGCGATTAGGTTAGAAGAAGAGAGAACAAGACGCATAGGGAGAGAGAGAGGCGAAAAAAATGAACAAAAATGAAAAGAAATTAAACATATATCTCCCTCGCGATCCCATGTGGCACTCTTATTATGCACCTTCAATCATAACCACGCGATCTTAATCAAATGTTCAATAGCTGTACATCCACGATAACTCCATACACGCGCATGCATGGAACCCATCGGGATGTTTCCAATTATGTTTGGGCTTAGCCCATGCTATCTACACTCCTAGGTTTTACTGCCTAAACTAAATTCACACCCTCCTGCGTTTTTTAAAAAAATTATTTATTTTTTAATAATTTTATTTATTTACTTATTTGTTTATTCATTTATTACTTTTTTTGCATATGAATAAATTATTAGATATTTTAATATTTAATATATATTTTTTAAATTATAAAATCTTTATTTCTTCATCTAAACTCTTTTTTTAAATACTATCCTTTTTTAAATACTTTAATCACATCAAATATTTTTTCTTGCATACAAAAAACCTACCTATCCTCATATTGCATAATATATTCGAAAACATCTAACCAATCAAATACTAAATATTTTTACTAACCTAATTCAAACTTATATATTTTCAAAAAAAGGATTATGGAAATTTCTTTTATTGACTGCGAACTTCGTCTATAATTCCGCTATTCACACGCCCAGACTTGGGTCAAGGAGAATTCGAGATATTTCCATAATCCATAAAAAAACTAACCAAACAACTACGAACTATGAATTACGAATTTAATTCCTCATAAGAGTATACGTAGGCATACGACTTAAAATCGTGGCAAGATCCCCTAATTAAAAATTAAAACCCTATTCCTAAATCGTAAACCTAAACCCTAGTATCCTTGTGAACAAGGTAGATTAAGGGTGTCTAACACCTTCTCTTCATTTAAAGTGAGTCAACAACTTAGAATCTCTGATCAAATTAGAGTTATTTATTATATTCCATTCCTTAGAATAAAAATTAATGGTGCGACTCTATAACTTTCAGCCGGTTATTACAGTTGGAGACTCTACTAGGGACTCAACCCTAGGGTTTAGAAGCCTTTCCTTTCCTTTTATTTATTATTATATTATTTTTATTTTTTTATCATTTGTTGGAGGGATTTTATTTCAAAAAATACATTTAAAAAAAACCTTAGAAAGAAGGTTCGTCTATTGGCCAAGGGGATGATATATCATCCATGTGATTTTTTGTGACGACTTCGCCTAGATTCGGTGGCATTCCAAAAAAAGAAATATTTCTCAAGAGGTATCCTCTCGGGGGGTAGGACTTTGTAATAAAATCTATGACTTTTTGTATAACCCTTAAACCAAAATCTCATGGTGAGACCTTTTATGACCTTAGAGATGAAAGTTTCGGTCTACAAAGAGGCTCTGCTTAAGG